ATGAATGATTGGACTGTAGAGGGATAACTTGCTGTATACAGGTACCCAGAGTCTTTGGACTGACAATCTTCAGCCTAAATGAGTAAGTTTACCAGGTGTGGTGGAACACACCTGTAATCCTAGCACTCAGGAGGCTGAGGCAGGAGGATTGTTGCAAGTTTGAGACCAGCCTGGGCTACAAAGTGAGCTCAAGACCACCCTGAGCTGCTTAGTGAGACCCTGTCTGAAGAAGACAAAAAAAAAAAAAAAGACTAAGTTCATCAAGAATGAAAAAGTCTTTTACTGAGTTCTCCACACACAGCTTCTCCAACTTCAAGTGAACACGTATCATTTATAGAACAGAAAAGAGAGCAATGTCAGGAGAGGCTGAAGCTGGAAATCAGTCACAGCTAAGACAAAGCTGGCCCTAGAACATGGGGAGCTCCTTGAGCCATGTAAACAAGCCATTCCAGCTTGTTAGCCGGTTCCTGGGTAGAGGGGTTGAAATGGACATCAACCTCTCCAAGGTACAAATAAATGCTCTACAGTTCTTGGGCAGTTCTTCTCCTTCCATCCGGAGAGAGAAGGCTCCACCTGACCTCAGTCTTGTCTCTTGCCTATCTTTTCCTCATCCCACCACGATTTTTCCCCCAGGGTCCACCTAGAGCCCCAACAAATCACATCTTTTTTTGCACCAGGAATTGAACTCAGGACTTTGCACTTGCCAGGCAGGTGCTGTGCTGTTGAGCTATATCACTGGCCCTGAATAATGTTTCATTTTGAACATATGCACATTTTCTTGATCCATTTATCCACTGATGGGCATCTGTATTGATTCCATATTTTGGCCTTATTTACTTATTTATTTTTTTGAGAATGTCCCACTATATAGTTTATTTATTTTTTATAAATCATCTTCTGTATACTAACGCATAGGTTGGAAGTTTAGTTTTTGCTTTGCTTGATTGTTCTTTTTTTGGTAATGGGAAACAAACCTTGCACTTGCCAGGCAAGCACTTGTGCCACTGAGCTATATCCCTGGCCCTCACTATGTAGTTTAGGTTGGCCTTGAACACACTATGGAGCCCAGGCTGGCCTCAAACTTCTGGTGATCCTCCTACCTCTGTCTTCTGAGTGCTTGGACTACAGATGTGTGCCACCACCCATGGCTCTGGCCTTATGTAGTTTGAATAATAATCCTTTGATGAATAGTTTGCAAATATTTTCTCCTATTCCATAGGTTTTCTTTTTCCTCCATTGGTTGTTTCCCATTTCCTTAGCTGAGTAGAGGAGATAGGGCGTGTTCTGGGTGGTATAGCTGTAGATTGACTGTTTCCTTTTCTGTGCAGAAACCTTTTACTTTGATATCCATGATATATTTTACTTTTTTTTTTTTTAAACTGGGAATCAAACTCATGACCTCACACTTGCCAGGCAAGCGCTGTGCCACTGAGGTATATCCCAGCCTCCATGATATATTTTAAAGTAAGCATCTAGAATTTTTCATCATAAAAATGTCATTGTTTCAGGAATATAATTCCTGGCACATTGAAAATATTCAAGTTTTGAAGTAGAACAGCTGGGCTGGGGATGTAGCTCAGTGGTAGGGTACTTGCCTAGCATACACAAAGTCCTGAGTTCAATCCCAAGTACCACAAAAAAAGAAAAAAAAAAAGTAGAACACATTACTTTCTTGAATATGCAAGAGAACCGGTATCTGTTACTTGGTACCCATCACTGCCCTTTTATTTTTCAATTTTTGGTTGTTTTTTTGTGGGGGGAGAGGGGACAGGGTCTCACTGTGCTGTTCAGGCTGGCCTTGAGCTCACTTTGTAGCCCAGGCTGGTCTCAAACTTGCAATGATCCTCCTGCCTCAGCCTCCTGAGTGCTGGAATTATAGGCCTGCATCACTGCTCTTATGCTTGCAAGCTGTTTTTCATTTTTGTTTTTGTTCTGGTGCTGGGAATTGAATTCAGGACCTTGCTCACTGTCTTAGTTACTTTTCATGTTGTTGAGACAAAATACCTCACACCCAATTAGAGAAGGAAAGGTTTACTTTAGCTCACAGTTTGTAGAGGTTTCAGTCCATAGTCAGCTGGTTCCAAAGCAGGGCAACATGGCAGAGGAGCACTGTAGAAAAACAGTTCATGGCAAAGCAGGGAAGGCAGAAAGCAGCAAGTAGAAGGAAGTGAGTGAAAAATGGCAAATGAGGACCACTTTCTATCCCTTATGTTACCTCTAGGCTACCTACCTTTGTGACAGACAGCACTCACACCCAGGGTGGGGCACCTTTAATCCTACCTAGAACTATGCCAAACCAATTAGCGGACCTTTTTTTTTTTGGTCTTTTTGAGACAGGGTTGCCATATGCAGTTTAGGCTGGCCTCAAACTTCCGGTGATCCTTTTGCATCAGCCTCCTGAGTGCTAGGATTACTGGCATGCACCACTTCACCTGGCCTGTGGACTAATTTAGTAATTGCACACACTTGATCCCAGCATCACACACTCCAGATCAACCTCCTTGGAAAAGCCCCACTTGCCTGGCATGGTGGTGCATTCCTAGCATTCAGGAGCTAAGGCAGGAGGAGCGTTGCAAGGTTGAGGCCAGCCTGGGCTACAAAGTGAGTTGAAGACCAGCTTGAACTGCATAGTGAGACCCTGTGTCAAAAAGAAAGAAAGAAAAGAAAGGAAGAAAGAAAAAGAAAAAAAGAAAAGCCCAACTTATGACCACATGCCGCTCTGGGGTGACATCTAGACACAAGCCATAACACTCATGCTAAACATTCCAGTTACAAACTTTCACAGCTACAAACAGACCTTGAATTACATAGATGGGAATAAATCACGAAAGTAGCTCATGTGTCTGGTGGAAATTGTCATGGTTATGCTGTTGTGTGCTTACTGTAGAGTGTCATACTATAACGGTACCAAGCCCAGGAGATCCGGAAGCAAGAGGAAGAGCATGGGTGCTGTGGAGGGTACTGCTAGGAAGCACAAAGCTAGGTACATTGTTAATTTGTGTCAAAACCCTGTAAGGCTGACTTTGTGGGAGTTACAAATGAATCTGATTTATGAATGTTCCAGAACGGAACTGTTCCTAGGAAAGGATCTCTCTCTCTCTCTCTATATATATATATATATATTTATTTATTTTTAAATAGGGTCTTACTATGTTGCCCAGGCTGGCCTCAAACTTCTGGCAGTCCTCCTGGTACACAGCCTCCTGAGTGCTGGCATGACAAGCGTGTGCCACCACACTTGGCAGTTTCATATATATAGAGAGAAGAAAAATACCTTCCTTGTGCTTTTAGGACTGAAAATTCTTTTGAGTTATCCTTACAGTTATGAGAATGGAATCGATCAAACAGCATAAAAATTATAAAAATTATAATTGTTGAAGTGGAATATTTGATAAGATAGAACAGGTAGTGTTCAGGGTGCCTCGATGGAAGAACTAGCCTACGTGTCTAAGACTGATAAGGTTAGGGATTTCATGGCTGAGAGCTGTATCTTTTTCTTTCGTTCTCTTTTCTTTCCATCTTTTTTTTTTTTTAAGAGGTCGAATGTGGGGAAAGGACTGTGATTGCTAATGGGTTGACTGCTGATGGTCAGCTTATGATCCCCAGCTGTGCTGAGTGCGTGTGGTGCGGGACACTCGCCCGAGAACTGTTACCATTAGCTGAGAGGCAGAAATGGAAAGGGGTAATGAATTTCTCCTGTTGGTCTCAGTTACGGTCTTGGTTCTAATAAAAGGTGATTGAGATGAGTGATCAGGGCGGCAGTCCAAGAGGCTGTAAGCCCCCTGATCCCAGACTTTTAGCTCTCTTGATTTTCTTCTCTCTTCTACTTTCCTTGTTTCATCCGCGGGCACCTCGTTCTCGGGACCTGTCAGTGTAGTTAATACCAACAAAAATGGAATATTTGATAGAACAGGGAGTGTTCATGGCGCCTCGATGGAAGAACTAGCCTACGTGTCTATTCAAGACTGGTAAGGTTAGGGATTTCATGGCTGAGAGCTGTATCTTTTTCTTTCGTTCTCTTTTCTTTCCATCTTCTTCTTCTTCTTCTTTTTTTTTTTTTTCCGGTACCGGGAATCGAACTCACCACCTTGAGCTTGCCAGGCAGGCGCTGTGCCGCTGAGCTAAATCCCCAGCCCCTCTTTCCATCTTAAGAGGGGACAGCCTACAGGTCTAAGGGACGGACGGAGCGGACTCTCCTGCGACGTTTACCGGCAGCCAGTTTCGGAAAGCGGGCCGCAGTGAGCCCCTCCCGCGCCCGTCCTGCAGGGCGAAGGCTGCGGGGCTTCGTGGAGGGTGCCGCCCGGGGCCGAGTCCTTCGGGAGGCGGCGGCGGCCCGTGCGCTCTGCCGGGCGGGGAGGCGGGCGTCAGCGCTCCGTGCCCCGCTCGGTTCTTCCCAGTTCCCCCGCAGCGGGCGACACCCCGCCGGCCGAGCCGGGCCGCTCGTTAGTCGTCGGCGCGGCCCCGACTCCAGCAGCAGGAACGGCGACTCCTCCGGGCGGCCCGCGCTCCGGTCTCAGCAGCTGCTGGACAGCGGCAAGGAGCGGCCGCCCTGGGCCGGGGGGCCCGGAGGCGCCAGCCGCGGACGCAGGAAAGCTGCGCTGGAAGGCGAAGCGTTTCTTCCCCGCCCCAGACTCTCCCACCCTCCCTGAGGTCCCACACAGCCCCGGGGAACCCAGCCCTCTGTGCCCCTGCCCCGCCTCAGGAAGGCGGCTCGGTCCTCCGGCACGCGACTGGCCGACTGTTAGGCCCCAGACGGGAAGTTTGCGACTGATAGAGAGGCGCAAGCACCGGGTGAAAAGAGCTGCGAGGGCTACAGGCAAAGCCAGTGCCGTACAGCAAAATGGCTGCCCCAAGTGCTTTAGGTTGTGCTGCGGGTGACAAGCCCCGCCCAGTACAGGTCGGTGTTGGCGGGTAGGGAGGGAACTGTAGACTGAGTAGGTGGGCCTGTCGTCACTTCCTGCTACAGCAAGACAGGGTTCCGTGCAACAATATGGCCGCCCTCATTGCGTGTAGGCGGAAACCCTACGGCTTCCGGTCCGTAGTGGGTTCTGCGGTGGGAGGGGGGAAGGAAGGCGGAGGGAACCATGCGAGGTTCTGAGCTCCCGGGTGAGCGTCGCCTCGAGAGACCGTTTCTGAGGTGGGGGCCGGACTGTGTGGGGAGCGGAGGCAGGGGCGGGGGTACGAGGGAGAGGTTTGGTGTTGCGGAGAGACCCGGGGGGCTGAGTGTGAGGGGCAACGGATGGTGGTAGCCTTCTATCCCCAGAGGGGAGTGGGGCGGCCGCGGCCGAGCCGGGAGGGGGACTTGGCGGGAAGCTCCTGTACCTGCCGGGCCCGGCCAGGCTTTGCGCCGAGAGGAGCAGGAGAGCCCGGTGGCGGGCTTAGGGTCGGCTCCGCGTCCCAGAGAGAATGGGGAGAATCAGGGTGGGGTGCGAGGGAGGGGACTTGGGGAGAATTTTCCGAGCTGAAGCCCGGGTTGGAGGGAACCCGCGCGGGTGAGATCTGGACACAGTTCAGGGCGCCGGGGGGCGGAGAATGGCTTGCTGGCCGAGATCCTTTTCGGCCTCGCCGAGTCTCGGAGTTGGGGGGACCATGCGGAGCGGGGTGTGGGTCTGCCGTGGGAGGGCGACAGGGAGCAGGCCCGCGGGGTGGCGCCCACAGGGGTGTGCGGTGAGCCGAGAGGGGGTGTCGGGGACATCGGGGTGCAGGGTGCGAGCTGGGGCTGGGATCGGTAGTAAGAAGCAACTTCCCAGCTGTGAGAGACACTGGAGAAACGCAAAGGAAAGACCGGAAATCGCGGGCAGGGGTGGAGCTGGAGGAGGAGACGGGGTTTGCAGCAGGGCAGCCCTCTCTGCCCCAGTACTCCGGGGGCCTGCAGCGCACCTAGGAGTCCTGGAAGAGGGGTCGGGAGGACGCTCACTGTGGGCCGCGCTGGGCGGTTCCGAACCCCAGGCGTTTGCAAACAGCCGGAGGGCCGGGGCTGTGCTGGAGGGGCGCTTTCTGAGGCCCCATCCCCTTCTAGCAGGAACCCTGAAATCCCCAACACTCCCTCCCTCTGGAGGATTTGATCCCCCATGGCCGCCGCCAACAGCATCATCGTGCTGGATGATGATGACGAAGACGAAGCAGCTGCCCAGCCAGGGCCTTCCTCCCACCCTCCCCCCAAACCGGCTTCACCCCAGGCACAAGCCCCCGGCCCCTCTGAGCCCCATAGGGCTGGAGGAGGCTCTGGTTCCGGCGGCAAGAAATGCTACAAGTTGGGGAATGAGAAGCTGTTTGAAGAGGTGAGCTTTAGGGGAGAAGGTTCTTGCATCTCAGGGAGGGGGACGGCTGCCTGGCTCTCCGGACCCATCCTCACCTAACCCCGCCTTGCCTTATTTCTCTCAACCCCTTCCCTTGTCTTTTCTCCCCCTCCCGTATTTTCCCTGAACCCAGTTCCTCGAACTGTGTAAGACGCAGACATCGGACCACCCCGAGGTGGCCCCATTCCTCTCCAAACAGCAACAGCGTGCCCACCCTCTGTTCCTGGCCTCCGCGGAGTTTTGCAACATCCTCTCTCGGATCCTGTCTCGGGCCCGCAGTCGGCCGTCTAAGCTCTACGTGTACATCAATGAGCTCTGTACTGTTCTCAAGGCCCACTCGGCCAAGAAGAAGCTGAACTTGGCCCCTGCTGCTACTGCGTCCCATGAGCCATCCGGGAGTAAACCTCCCACGGACCCCTCCTCAGACCCCGCCAAGGCTGAAACCACTGCCTCTGAGCCTCCAAGGACCCGAGGGTCCCAGCGGCAGATCCAGCGCTTGGAGCAGCTCCTGGCGCTCTATGTGGCGGAGATCCGGAGGCTGCAGGAGAAGGAGTTGGATCTCTCAGAATTGGATGACCCGGACTCCACATACCTGCAGGAGGCCCGGTTGAAGCGGAAGCTGATCCGCCTGTTTGGGCGTCTGTGTGAGCTCAAGGAATGCTCTTCATTGACGGGACGAGTCATAGAGCAGCGCATCCCCTACCAAGGCACCCGCTACCCAGAAGTTAACAGGCGTATCGAGCGGCTCATCAACAAGCCGGGGCCTGATACCTTCCCTGACTACGGAGACGTGCTGCGGGCCATAGAGAAGGCAGCTGATCGCCACAGTCTCGGCCTTTCCCGACAGCAGCTCCAGCTCATGGCTCAGGATGCCTTTCGAGATGTGGGCATCAGGTTACAGGAGCGACGCCACCTTGATCTCATCTACAACTTCGGCTGCCACCTCACAGACGACTATAGGCCAGGTACTGGGTCAGCGATCCTTTAGGTCATTTGTATGGTGTGGGCAGGGTGTCTCTCTAATCCCTTTTTTGGTTTTGGGCTGAGCAGTCTGACTTTGTATCTTCTCATATAGGCATTGACCCGGCACTGTCAGATCCTGCATTAGCCCGGCGCCTACAGGAAAACCGGAGCTTGGCCATGAGCCGGCTGGATGAAGTCATCTCCAAATACGCAGTGATGCAAGACAAAAGTGAGGAGAGGGAGAGACAGAAGAGAAGGGCCCGGGTCTCCCAAGGCACCTCTTCCCACTCTGCAGGCTCCCCCAAAGCCTCCTTGGATTCTGGTGAGGTGTGGAAGGGATGTGCCCTGCTAGAAACCTTGTCTTCCCTCTGCACTGGCCACCAGGGGTTCCAGGGTGGCTGTTGGGGGCATGTGCAGAAGAAATGCAAGAATCAGACCCTGTGGGGTGAGGAGTTCCTTAGAGAAACTCCTCTGTTCCCCAGGGCCCCAGTGGAATGACATCCCAGGAGTGCCTGACTACCTCCAAGGCTGAGACTGATGATGAGGAAGATGAGGAAAGTGAGGAAGAGGAGGAAGAGGAGGAAGAGGATGCCACTGATTCTGAAGACAAGGAGGATCTGGAAGAGCTGCAGGAAGGTCAGGGGGTCGAGGAACAGGATGAGGAGGAGAGTGCAGGTATGTAAGAGGAACATTCTCCACATGTGTCAGTTCTGTTGGTATGAGCTACCTCTTGAGACTTTTTCTTTTCTTGATTTTCGAGACAGAGACCAACAGTGTAGTTTAGCGTGGTCTTGAACTCACTGTGTGGCTCAGGCTGGCCTTGAATCTCCAGTGATACTCCTGCCTCAGCCCTCCTAGTGCTGGGATTATAGGAGTTGGTTGCTGGGCCTGGCTTTGAGAGTCTCCTTTCTTTTCCTCCTGCTTTCTTCTCAGCGTTGTTTTGTGTCCTTGTCTTCATGCTATTCCTTCCCTTTTCTTTTCTCCCAGGAAAAGATGGAGGCAAGAGCCCCAAGTCCCCAGCACAGGCTTCCACTGAAAAGAACCGGGAAGCTGTCAAAAGAATCAGCAGGGCGTCAGGGGAGCGAGGAAGCAAAAGACTCACAGCGTCCCCAGCCTCGGTGTCGGAAGAACCCCTGGCCCGCTCGAGCGTGGATGCTGAGGGCAGCAGAGAACAGCTTGAAGAGCTGCCCCCGGAGGAAGACAGCCCTTTGTCGCAGCTCTTCGAGCTGGAGATTGAAGCCTTGCCTGTGGATAGCACCCCTTCCCCGGAGGAAAGCGACGTCTCCTCTTCGCGGAAGCAGTCGGAAGAGCCTCTTCCCATGGTCCTGGAGAACGGGGCAGCCACGGTCACCTCCACATCCTTCAACGGAGGTGTCTCTCCTCACACGTGGAGAGATCTTAGTCCCCCCTGTAAGAAGTCTCGGAAGGAGGAGCAGCAGACGGGGTTGGGACAGCTAGGAAACAGGTGACAGAGGCTGGGAAAGAAGGGGAGGCTGAGGAGGCGTTGCAGGGCCTTCAGGGAGGATCGCTAAGCTCAGGCTCCTAACCCCCTCCGCCTGCTGTTTGTGTTCTCAGTATTTTGGACCGGCGGCAGAGGCCAGTGCCAGAGAAGAACGCCAAGATCTGCCTGCCGCCCAGCCCACCATCCTCCCTGGCTTCCATGGCCCCAGTTGCTGATTCCTCTACAAGGGTGGACTCTCCCAGCCACGGGCTGGTGACCAGCTCTCTCTGCAGCCCTGTTCCAGCTCGGTTGTCCCATGCCCCCCAGTGTCCTCCCCGGCCCAGCACCTACAAGGTAAGGGGCATCTGTTCTCTTTCAGTCTGCTTCTGCCTCCCTGCCCAGCCTCGATTTTAACCTCTCTGCCTCCTCTGACTCTCTGGCTCCCCGCAGACGAGTGTGGCCACGCAGTGCGACCCCGAGGAGATCATCGTGCTGTCAGACTCTGATTAGCGGCCACCTTTGCTTCCGGAATACATTTGGAGGGTGGCGGGAAGCCAACAGCTCCGGAAGGGATGGACTGAGCTAATCCCTTCTTGGTGGTGTTTCTTTTAAAAATCCAGAAGCTTAAGTTTTACACAGAAACATTAAAAACAATAAAATTCTTTTCTTCTTGTATTTCCGTCCTTTCCTTGGTGTCCCCTGTCGCAGCCTGATAGCAGCTGTGTCGCTCACGGTTGGCCCACGTGCTGGTTAGCCCCGATCTGTCCGTTCCATCCTGGCCCTTGCATACTCTCACCTGCCGGCTTTCCTGGTGCCCCAAACCAGGTACCAGGAAAAAAAAAGTGCTTGAGCTGTCTTAACCCGCTTTACTTTCTCACTTTGAGCGGTGCGAGTGAAAGGCCAATCAGGGGCGGCTCTAGGTTCCTCGGCCAATCCAGGCTCGGAGGAAGAGGGCGGGGCTTCAGGGGACTGTCAGCAGCTAGGACCAGGGCTATCAGATCCCGCGAACCAGCTAATGGCCACAGCTCAGGGGCGGGGCCTGAGGAACGAGGGCTAGCACCCTTCGCCAAAGGGAAAAGGCGGGCTTACATAATTAAAGGGGAATGAAGGACTCGGCTAAACCAAGTCTTGGGTCCTCTGCGGAAGGGAGGACCTGGTACCTTTAAGGTGGGATGAGGCGAAAGTTCCTTAAAGGAGAAGTGGCGAAGTCGGCCGAATATTGCCCAGCGGCACGGGCGGGGTGCCCGCCTGTACCTTTAAAGTCGAAGGGGCGGGAGGCGGAGCGGAGGCAGAGGGCGGAGGGAGTCGGCGCAAGATGGCGGCGGGAGGGGCCCGGGCTGCAGCTCTGGACGCCGAGTGAGGGGCGGGGGGTCCGGGGGCGCGCGGCCCGGTAAGCGGGGACGCGCGGGGTTGGGGGGCGCCTTCCGGGTGGGAGAAGAGGCCGAGGTAGTGCTCGGGGCGGAGCAGGTGGGGCGGGGTCCGGTGTGGGCGGGGGTAGGCAAGGGGCGGGGTCGAAAGGCCGTAGGGGGGCGGAGCATAGGGAGAGGGGAAAGAGTGGGGCTAGAGATGCACCCGCGCGCGCAAAGGGCGTGTCTGTGAGACCCGGGGGGCAGCGCCTGCGGGGAGACCGAGCCTGGGCTGGTCTTCAGAGCGTGGCGGACCTGACCCCTCTGCCTCCAGCACAAGGGTGCGGAACAGCCGGAAGGTGCATTTTGGAAAGTTAGGCTCCCAGGCAAATGGAAAACGGTGTCATCTCAGAGGAGAACGCCTCACTCCTGAGAGTGGGGCGCTCTCACTCCGAGTAGCGGGCGCCGAGCTTGGGGTGAGCACACCTGCCTGGGGTGGCGTTTCACCTGAGGGCTGTGTCGCCCCGACGATCACGTGGTCACGGACAGGTGTACCCGCGCGGCGCGTTTTCACGCTGGGACCTTCACGAAATGTTACCCCTTCTCTCTTTCTCTCCCCAGAGACCCCCCCGGCCGCCTCCTCTTCCCCTGTTCCTGTGGCTGGGGGGGTGTCCCCTCTCTCCGCAGCATGGAGCCGTCCGCTCTGTCGCCCAGCGGGCCAGCCCTGCCCCTGCCCCTGTCACTGGCTCCACCCCCGCTGCCCCTGCCGGCGGCGGCGGTGGTCCACGTGTCCTTCCCCGAGGTGACCAGTGCCCTCCTGGAGTCTCTCAATCAGCAGCGGCTGCAGGGCCAGCTCTGCGATGTGTCCATCCGGGTGCAAGGCCGGGAGTTCCGCGCGCATCGGGCTGTCCTGGCCGCCTCGTCTCCTTACTTCCACGACCAGGTCCTGCTCAAGGGCATGACCTCCATCTCGCTGCCCAGCGTCATGGACCCAGGCGCCTTCGAGACCGTCCTGGCCTCCGCTTACACCGGCCGCCTCAGCATGGCTGCGGCCGACATCGTCAACTTCCTCACCGTGGGCTCCGTGCTCCAGATGTGGCACATCGTGGACAAGTGCACCGAACTCCTCCGGGAGGGTCGCGCCTCGGCCACCGCCACCATCGCCAGCGCTGCGGCCCCCGCCGCCG